GACACAACCTTATTCAGGACATGAATATGGAGATTTGCTAAAGGTCTAGCACGCACCTGACCTGGCACAATGGTCTCAATTTCATGCTTACAAATGTTTAAAAGTTCATCTCATACTATTTAATTTATTAATAACTAACAATTTTACGCTTATATTTTATATTATGTTGGTTCTGCAACCACTCCAAAAAGAATCCAAACCAGGAAATTACACTGGAGTTTGCATATTGCATGCACTTGTGTGGGTTTCTTCATTCCCACACAGTCAAGAACTGTGCAGGCACCAGAATTTGTAGGATTGTGACATCTCTGAGCCAGCATCTTAGTCTAGAAAGTAGATACTGACCCTGGAAAAGGACTGCACAAAGATCGATCCAAAAAAAAAAGTCAGGGACTATTTCTATCCATCTATGGACAGCTTTAAAAAAGTAGCAGAAAATTATTCAAAAGGTAAGAGTTGTGAGGGATGAGTTGATGGAGAAAGTTCAGTTTTAAGGTAGGTTTAGGATAGGCTTCTCTAAAGAGATGAGTTTTTAAGGATTGTCTAAAGGTGGGCAGTGTAGGAGATAGCTGGATGGATTGAGAGTGCCAGTGGATGGGAGAGGCTCTGGAGAAGTCTTGGAGGCAGGCTTTAGAGCAGGTGATGAGAAAGCTAGAGAGTGGGAAGTATTAGAAAGAGCACAGAGGATGACTTAGGTCAGGGGTGTCCAAACTTTTTTCAAAGAGGGCCAGATTGGATGAAGTGAACATGGTGGAGGGCCGAACATTTTTCCGAGCATTCTTTGAACCATTACAATTAAATGCAAATAAATTATTTTATGCCAAGTTAATTGCAAACGACATACTTTTCATTTCATAACATTAAGATCAACTGACAGCTGAGTTTTCACAATGTATTGAAAATAAATTTTAAAAAAACTTATCTGCACTAATGTGAAGGGTGAAAAAGGTAGCTGGAGCTGAAGTCTCTGCTCGGCAGCCGGGAGGGGAAGAGAAACACACTTCACGCTGGAAACCCGGCCCTGACGTCACCCCCCTCTGTCGCTCCCAGCGCGGCGCAGTCACGCATGCGCACTGCTCTCAAGCAGAAGACTGTCTGCCACAGAAGGGAGGGCCGTGCGACAGCCGCATTTACGCAGACCAGGGAGAACGCGCCGCAGTCAGGCATGCGCACTGCCCTCTTCTCTCAAGCAGAAGACTGTCTGCCATAGAAGGGAGGGCCGTGGGAGGGCCACATTACACAGAGCAGGGAGGGCTGATGGAGGGCCGTATTAAACCGACCCCCGGGCCGTAAATGGCCCGCGGGCCGGACTTTGGACATGCCTGACTTAGGTGATATTTGAGATGAGGTTGGTGATATCGCTTGGGGACTACTTAACTTTGTTCCTCACTAAGCTCTTAAATATTACTGTCAGTAATTACCTGGGACCTGCCAGTCCCCTTTTGAAAGAGCCCCTTCCTGTTTCATACTGCCCATGCTAGCATGGCCAGTTTATATCTTTGCTACCTATCTGGGAGATACAAGATGGCGTGCTTATAGTCCCAAAGTTAGATTACTGCCGACCTCTGCCAACCCTTCACAGTTTGAGTGACAGCCTGGTAGGAGTAGTGCTGATTGTAGAGCAGTCATTTGAGTCTTAGCCCTTTGCTATGCCTTTACACAATTCGATGCAAAGTCATTTTTGCCATTTTATAGTCTGTACTTATTTTTATATGTGCACTCAGCTGCTTTCAACATACTAACTGGTAGATTCTGCCTCTAGTTACTGTTGTAGATCAAGCAGCGGAATTATTACAAAATAGCTCCTGAAATTACAGGAAAACCTACATAAATCTATTCTCGACAGAATGATGCAATTCCAGTTAAAAACAAAAAAGGTACAAGTACAGCATATTCACTGCACAACACTCCTAAACAAAGAGCCCAGCCTGCTTATTTACTGAACAAATACAGCTGTATAATGTACAATAATGTTTATAAACTATAAATAAAAATACTTTCTTTTAAATCATTAAAGTGATTCTAAAGGTGGAATTTTTCTAAAGGTTGAATTTTGCCTTTAAAACCACTTTAAAGTGAATGTATAATAAGTTAATTGCATTTCATTTCCCAAAAAGTGTATCATAAACAGTTGCCATTTTTTAGATGCAACACTTCTTTTTTCTTTTTTCCATACTTGGTTGCATTGTTGCTGTTGCTGTTGCTGTTGCTGCTGCACTCCAGTGGTCTCTATGCAACCACTTTCTGACAGATGTGCACCCTCTAGTGATGGCTGTGTGGCATTGTCCAGGGATGCTCTCCCAATGATAACAAGAGTAGACTGTGGCTGTGTGATGTGGGTTGAACTGGCCTCAGTTTCTATCTGAAGACCGAGGATGAGACCGCACTGGAGCACAAGTGGGATACAGGGACAGAGCGTTGTCTTCCCTATTCAGGAAGTACCTTTAAAAATGTACCTTCATGGCAGAATCACCAAGTATTATTAACCATTTGCCCTCTAGAGGATTTACCCCCCTTCGTGACCGGGCCATTTTTTGTGTTACGGCGCTACGTTGCTTTAACTGACAATTGCGCGGTCATGCAACGCTGCACCCAAATGAAATGTATGTCCTTTTTTTCCCATAAATTGAGCTTTCTTTCAGTGGTATTTGATTGCCTATGCATTTTTTTTTTTTTGCACTACAATTTTGAGAAAAAAAAACAATATTTTTGACTTTTGCTATTAAACATGTCCAGTAAAAAAAATATCCCAATATGTGTAAATTAATTGGTTTACGTGAAAGTTATACCATTTACAAATGGTGGCATATACTGGAATTTTTTATTTTTACTAGTAATGGTGGTGATCAGTGACTTATAGCGGGACTGCGGGATTGCGGCAGGCATTATGACACTGGGGGGGAACTGACTTGGTGTCACTGATATCCCCAGTGACTCCAATACAGTGATCAATGCTAAAAAAAAAAGCACTGACACTGTATTAATGTACTGGGCAGGAAGGGGTTTATGTGAGGGGTGATCAAAGGGTTAACTGTGTGCTGGGTGTGTTTAGTCCTCATGCACACTTGACGTTTTTGCAGCGGCTGTTTTTGGCTTTTGATGTTTTTTTCTACAGCTAGTAAACCCCCCAGCATGTTATAATATGTGTTCATGCATACATAGACTGTGGTAAAAAAAAACACTAAAAAACGCGAAAAACTCTGCTAAAGGCTAATGCAAAAATGCTAAAAAAAAATGAAAAACTCAAGTTTTTAACATGACTTTACACAGCTAATGTTACCAGCGTTATCAAAACGTCCAGTGTGCATGAGGAATTACTAGGAGGTGGGGGGGGTGTGCTTCACTGTAAGCACACTGCTTTGGATGGCTGTGCTGTACACAGCCATCCAAAGCAGTGTACCCGAGCTGACAGGGAGGAGAACTGTTAGTAAACAAAACAGTTCTCCTTCCCGTCGGAGATCCTCGGTAAGCACTGGGAGCCGGCCATTGACAGCTGACAGTGATTGACAGCTGCGGCCGTGAATGGCGGCACGGGTAGGGCGCACGTAAGCCCCCTACCCAGAAATGCAAAATCACGTATATATATATATATATATATATATATATATATACGTGATTTTGCGCACCATGCCGCCCTGTAGCAGTCTTTCTGCTATAGGGCGGTTGGGAAGTGGTTAAAGTGTTACTAATCCCTCAACAGTAAAATCAGTCTGTATATGCAGTAAATCATGCTTGCTGTACTCAATGTGGAACCTAAAGGGTTGATCCTCTGCATTCTGTAAATCTGTTTAATCCTGACTTCTCTGATCCTCCCCTTCTTCCAGTGTTCCCCTCTTATATCCTGATAAGACATATTGTGTGGAGTCACTTTGCACATGCTTAGTTTAGTGTTTATTGCTAGAGAGGTTTTTTTTTGTCTTGGGAGAGTGCATGCGATCAGCACAGGGCCAATCTGCACTGTCCAGACAGATGGTCAGGGGTAGACATGTGCAAAATGAAAAAAAATTGTTTTGTTTTGAAATCTAACAAATTTCATGCACTTCATTTTTGGGATTCATTTCCGTAATTCATATTCGAATTCAATTCAAAAATATTTCGACCAAATTCGAAAAGTCGTTCGTATTTGAAATTGGTTCAACCGAATTCGAAATTGATTCAACAAAATTCGAAAAGTCGTTCACAATCGAAAAGATTTTAACCGAATTTGAAAAAAAATGTAGAAAATAACAGGGACCGGGGGACCGGTCCTCAAAGCGGAACTTCCCCTTTTGGGTGGGGCTCCGCTTTAAATTAGTTTTCGAATGTTTGTTCGATTTCGTTTTTGCATTTGTTTTCGAATTCAAATTTGTTTTTCAACTTTGTTTACAAATTCGAATTTGTTTTCAAATCAAATTTAGTCCGAATTTTGTTTTTCATTGTTTTGGATTTGTTTAAATTCGTTATTTTTGTAATTCGTTATTACGATACATCCAAATCTCTGAATAATGAAAAATTTTGTCTGAAATGCGATTCGGAACTAAACAAACCGCACATGTCTAGCCAGGGGTTCTGTATCCTCCTACAGCACAATGAAACCAATGAGTGCATGTGATTAGCACAGGACCAATCAGCACTATCCAGACAGAGGTCAGGGGTTCTGCATCCTCTTAGAGCAGAAAGAAAACTCCTCCTACAAGCTTTAACCAGTGCTCGGCTGAACACTGATAGAAGTCACAAGACTGCTCTAACTGCTGATGAGAAAAGGTATTTAGCAGTTTATATTTAATAAAATAATTGCACTTCCATGTTCTGTGTACTGTGGGAGAACAGATATAGTGAATGCAGGGACCTGGGTTTAGTAACACTTTAACTGCCTCCCGCCGCCATATAGTACAATGACGGGTGCAAGGCGGTTCTCTTGTCCTGGGAGGACATCGTATGACGTCCTCCTATTCTAACCGCGCATGCGCGGCTCCGGAAGCGCGCAGCGCGGCGATCGGCAAAGCGCTGTGTCCCTCGGACACAGCAGATCACCGATCAATGGAAAGAGCCGAAGATGTTGGCTCGGTCATGTGATCAGCTGTGTCCAATCATGGCTGATCGCAAGTAAATAGGGAAATGCCGGTTATCGGCATTTCTATCCTCATGAGCTGTCAGCTCCAGAGGAGAGCCAGTAATCGGCATCAGTGCCAGTCAGTGCCGCCTATCAGTGTGCATCAATGCTGCCTATCAGTGCCCGTCAGTGCTGCCTATCAGTGCTGCCTTTAAGTGCCAGTCAGTGCCACCTATCAATGTCACGCCAATTATCAGTGCCGCCTATCAGTGCCATATATGATTGCTGCCTTTCAGTGCCCCTCAGTGATGCCTGTCAATGCCCATCAGTGCCACCTACCAGTGCCTCCTCATCAGTGCCCATCAGTGCCACCTATCAGTGTCCATCAGTGCAGCCTATCAGTGCACATCACTGCAGCCTCATTAGCGCACATCAGTGAAGGAGAAAAATCAATTATTTACAAAATTTTATAACAAAAACTACGAAAAAAATTTTTGGTTTGTTTAACCTCCCTGGCGGTATTCCTGAGTGTAGCTCGTTGTAAAGTTTCAGTACCACAAGCGGTAACCTCTAGCTACACTCGGGCTTACCATGCGGCACTGCTCCAGGATCCCTCAATCACTTACCTTGTCCTGCGCTCCCGCGATGTCCCTCCTGCAGTGTCCTCAGCAATGTAATTAGGCGGATGCCGGCATCTGTCATTTGGGTTCCGTCCCCTACGAGCGTCGGGATGTACGGGGACGGGACGGCGGGAAATTTGAAAATGACAAAAGGTGACATTCACTAAAATCACTAAAATCACATAGTAAAACATTACTGTATCAAAGCATTTCACATACATTTTGTCCCGAGTGCTTTGTCCTGTGCCCTGCCTGCATGTTTACCGTTCTTTCTGCCTGGAAACTGAGAAATGTCCATGGCGTCCAAAAAGCGTCCCTTTAGGTCAAAAGCGGTTTTAGACCAACTAGACAACAGCGATAATAAATCAGAACTACTTGCAGAATTGAGTGATAATGATTCGTGGGGAAATTCGTCATCAGACACTGAAAACGATTTTGCGGCTTTGCTCAGTGCTGTGCGAATTTGGCGCTATATTTCAAATTTCAGTGTTTTTGGTTTGATTATATTATTGAATTAAATTTTTTTTATTATTATATATTATTATTTTTTATGATTATCTATCAAATTATAATTTATGATTTCGTGTTTCAAGTTTTATCATACCCGGGATGTTTACTAGACTCTTGTTCGGACAGATTTCAGTGAGTTATTCCTAAATATTACAGCCTACAATATAAAACGCCATATTTCCATGCAAAAAATGGTACCGCTTTCAGCACCAAAAATCTGAAATAATCATACCGCCAGGGAGGTTAAAGTCCTACCAGGTCTAAAGGGCCTGGTATGTTTTTAGGCGGAACCCCGCACACTTTTTTTCAAAAATATATTTTTGTTTTATTAATTTTTTTACTATTGTTGTTTTAATTAATATTATTTATTGATGTATTTTTTTATGTTGTGTGGGGTGAGGGCTGTGCACTGTGAGAGCGCAGTGCATTGTGGGGTGTTTGGCAGGTCAACAGTCGGTGGTGCATTCACGCCGTAACCCTTCAGAGTTATTCTGGACGAGTGCAGGATTAGATCCTGCTCTAAAAATTTTAATTATATGCACCTGTCACACAATGCGTTGAAAAAATGGCCCTTGGGTGTTGGTGCCTCTGCACTGTAATCCCTTATATTATATATTTCCATGCAAAAAAATTTACCGCTTTGAGCACAGCAATATGGACATAATCAGACTGCTAGGGAGGTTAAGAAAAAATAAAAAACCTAGAAATGATTAAATACCACCAAAAGATAGCTCTATCTGTCACAAAAAAATGCTAAAAATTTCATATGGGTACAGTGTTGCAATTGTCATTCAAAGTGAAACAGCGCTGAAAGCTGGAAATTGGCCTGGGCAGGAAGGGGGTATAAGTGCCCTGTAGGCAAGTGGTTAAAAAGGCTGTACATTTAAAAACAGTAAAAGACTTTTGAATTTATTTCAAAGGTTATATAAACACAATACAGGAGATTTACTATAACTGGATCACTGAGAATCTGGTGCAGCTGTGTATGGTAGCCAATCAGCTTCTAACTTCACCTTGTTCAATTAAGCTTTGGGAATAAAACCTGGAAGCTGATTGGTTTGAAGAACTGCACCAGATTTTGCACATTTCAATTTTGGTAAATTTCCCCCATTGAATTTCTCTTATATTCTCCATTCTGGTTTGTTAAATATGCCATTAAAACTGCAAAAACGGAAAGACACCGCACTCCAATCAGCCCAAGTATCTTATAAGGAATGAGAACAGTCCCAGCCTTGTCTCCTCCCAATCAAGTGTTATGTTACATCTGTTGAATTGCGAAAAATAACTGTCAGAAAGTGTGTCAGTGAAAAACGTCCTGTGCTCTCTGCATTCTAATCAGTTACATTGTTCTCAGCTATTTCCGAAGACTACAAAACCCCTCCACTTTATGCTTTAGAGAAGAAGAAGGCTTCTGCTGTCTTGATACAGTAAATTGCTGCCACCGTTGGACAAGGAGTGTGTTACTGGTGGGATGCCCTGGTAAAAATAAAGGAAAACAAACCTGAAAATAGAAAACTAATGCAGCCGCCACATCTAAGGATTGGTAAGCAGCAATAACATCCTTGGGTTTAGATACAAGTAACATGTTAACAGGGGTGTATTTACCACAGGGCAAACAAGGCATTTGCCTAGGGAAGCATTTTTCAGGGGGCAGCAGTGCCCCCCGAAAGAAGGGATGGAAGAAGGGACACATGTGGCATGGGGACCAGGTGAGATCCGAGAGAGGTTGTGGGCTGCTTGATGGTGTATGGAGAGCCCAATTTGTTCTGGGGGATGTCCAGAGCTGTGAAGGTGAGTGTCTCTCTCTCTCTCTCTCATCGTGGAAGGGGTGGGTGGTAGTGGTAGTGGAAGGCTCTCTCAGGCGGGTGGGCAGGGGTGTTGTTGGTCAATGTCAGGCTCTCTCCATAGGGGGGCGCCTGGTTTTTGTGTTGCCTAGGACAGCACAAAACCTAAACACACAGCGGCATGTTAAAGCTGGTTTGGTTTAGTTATACATTGACACCCACAAATATTTGATCTATTTTATGAATTCCCATGTATTTTAAAAGAATACAAAAAATAAAAGAATATACACTCCTCTTAATATTTGAAAGGAGCTTACCTGTTTAATCAATGGGAAGAGCTCAAATTAAATTCTGGCTGTTAATAAATTATATTGTTGACTTCACAGGGATCTATTATTTTCAAAATCATTAAGTATGGTTGTTGGTCTGGTAATCAGGAGCCAATTTCAGGCAAAGCTAACCTTTTAAAATGTTCTGCTCTACATTAGACACACACACATCCATCTGTGCCCAAAAGATCAAAGATACATTTTCATGTTGACATACTGTAGATGAAAAGGGAAACTCTTGGCTTGCTCAAATAAACTTTACATATTGTTGTTTCAAAAAAGAGTAGCAAAGGTATACTCAAAAGGTTCAACAAATGTCTCCGACGTGGTTATTCTTACTCTTTTTATTTGTTCAAAACAAGACACTATAAGAGCTTCCTGCCAAAATTAGCCTAATTATAATTTGTTAACCAAACCGGCATTATTCTTCATAACATGCGATTATAGTCAAGTTTTTTAATGTAGAAAATGAAAAAAAAAAAAACAGGTCTAGGCCATTTCCTTGTCTCTGTTGAAACGTAATAATTATTACTGTCAGTATGTCAGGCATAATTAAAAGACATTTATTGTCTGAACTGATACATATATGTGGCCAAGCTACATTTAATTGAAAGCCAAGCAGACATGCTTGCTGGCTGGCATATTCACAACTCATAAATACATTTTGTGTCTCTCTTATTGGTCCTTAGAAATGAAAAAATGTTCCTGGGTTTGGTTTGCTGTGTTGCGAGTCTTGCTAGGAGTTCGATGTTTACCAACTTTGCGGTGAACCCATTAACCGCTTCCCCGCCACCCTATAGCAGATATACTGCTACAGGGCGGCAGGGGTGCGCAAATTCATGTATATATATGTGATCAGGGGCGGACTGACCATTTGGGAACTCGGGCACTGCCCGAGGGCCCTGGGTCAGTAGGGGGCCCCTTGAGATGCCCCTGGCACCTTTTTCATAGGCTTTTTTGGGTGTGGTTTGAGTGTGGGCGAGGACACAGGGGCCCCATGATCCCCTATTGCCCGGGGGCCCCATGAGTTGTCAGTCCGCCCCTGTATGTGATTTTGCATTTCCGGGTAGGGGGCGTGCGCCGCTGCTATTCGCGGCCTCGGCTGTCAATCACCGAGTCCCGGCTGGTGATTAGTTACTGGCACCTGGTGATCGAGGAGCATTACCGACGTAAGGAGAGCACTGTATGTAAACAATACAGTTCTCTCCCCTATCAGCTCCTGCACACTGCTTTGCATGGCTCTGCGTAGCAGAGCAATACAAAACAGTGTGCTTACAGTGGAAAGCACACACACACAGCACACAGTAAAACATCACACAGTAAACCCTTTGATCGCCCCACATGTTAACCCCTTCCTGCCCAGTGCCTTTAGTAGAGTGTCATTGCTTTTTATTAGCACTGATCACTGTATTGGTGTCACTGGGGATGTCAGTGACACCAAGTCAGTTCTCCCCAGTGTCATAATGCCTGATGCAGTCCCCCTATAAGTCGCTGAATGTCGCCATTACTAGTAAGAATGGAAAAAAAAGTCCAGTAGATATACCACCATTTGTAAATGCTATAACTTTCAAGTAAACCAATTATTTTACACGTATTGGGGTATTGGACTTGTAGCAGAATACATTTTGGCCTAAATTTATGATGAAATTAGATTTTTTTAATTTTTTGACTGGACATGTTTAATAGCAAAAAGTCAAAAATACAGTTTTTTTTCTCAAAATTGTCGGTATTTTTTTTTTTAGAGCAAAAAATAAAAACTGCACAGGTAATCAAATACCACCAAAAGAAAGCTCAATTTGTGGGGAAAAAAGGATGTAAATTTCATTTGGTTGCAGCATTGCATGACCGCGCAATTATTAGTTAAAGTAATGCAGCGCCATAACACAAAAATGGCCTGGTCAGGAAGGGCGGTAAATCCTCAGGAGGGCAAGTGGTTAGAGTCTATTAGAAGGGGGGGGGGGAATCTTTTATTTTTTTCTTCCTATTTTGGGGCTAATATAAAAACTTCTGTAAAAAAAAAAAGAAAAGCATAGAAAGCTAGGCACTGCAATGGGGAACATACAACAATGTCAAAGGTATGAAAAAAATAAAATAAAAAGCAGTATATCTCCCTACATAGAAATGTCAACTCTTTGTAACTCAATAATGTGGGGTACACACTATCAGTTGTTGTTTTCATTCAGCCCAGTGGGCTGAACAGACAAAAACATGACAGGCGATTTTAGTACAGTGATATCCCCGCTGAGTTATTGTGTTCTGACAGCGGGACTGCCCCCTGTCAGGACACACTGGTCAGCGCTCGCAGCCATTGGCTGAGAGCACAGATCAGATGCCGGTCGGTTGTTGGCTTTCCAGCATGAAGTTGGACGTTAGGCCGGCTTCTGTCAAACAGGCTGCTGAACACCCTGGCCGAATGTTCTGTTGAACCAGCTGAAAGTGGCTGATATTCAATCAGTGTGTACCAGCCTTAGGCTGCCATAAGCCCACTCTTTTTGAGAAAGGGTGCTGGGTTATCCCTCCCTTCAAATTATTGGCTCTGCATTATAGACTTTTCATTGTTTCTGGTAACCAACCTGAAAAATGCTCAGTCTGCAGTTTACAAACTTTGCAAATCCCAGTGGTTGTCCATAACCCCATGGTAGAGGCAAACCCTAACCTCATCCGTATTGTAATCTACTGCCTGCTTTATTTATCTTAATCTAGCAATCCCCTTGTTTCTTTTCTGAAGCCTCCTGAAGGTAACCATAGATAATCCATGAATGGAGCTACATACAACCAACCTATGAAAGAGAGTGCTGGAAATATGTTTCCTTCTGCCAAGTGAGCACCAACAATTTGCCCTCTTTGAAGCTCAGTAAGCTCTAACACAACTCTTTATTACAATCCCCGGTGTTTCTTTCCTGAAGCCTGCTGAAGGTAACCATAGCTAATCCATGAAAGGAGCTACATGCAACCAACCTATGAAAGAGAGTGCTGGAAACATGTTGCCTTCTGCCAAGCGAGCACCAACAATTTGCCCTCTTTGAAGCTCAGTAAGCTCTGACACAACTCCGTATTACAATCCCCAGTGTTTCTTTCCTGAAGCCTGCTGAAGGTAACCATAGCTAATCCATGAAAGGGGCTACATACATCCAACCTAATGCCTAATGCCAAGCAAGCACCAACAATGTGCCCTCTTTGAAGCTCAGTAAGCTCTGACACAACTCCCTATTACTAGCAGTGAATGACGCAAGTGAAGCTTCCAACCTGTTAGCTAGGTGTCTCATCATACAGAGGAAGCAAAAGAATGTTACATCACTTCTGCTTTCAACACAAAACATGTTGTTTCATTCACACCTGCAATCATGTAGTGTTTCTATTTTTTTGTCTAACCCCTGTAGGGTATAGTGAAAGTAGTGAGTCAGCCACACGAGGCTAATTAACCAGTCTTCCAACTATTCACCATTTTATCCACCTCACACTGCAACAACACTGAAATTATATTTTTTTTTACTTCAAGAGCATTTATACAAAGTTACTAATTTAATTTTTAACCATGCTGTAACCTCCAACCCTAAGGCTTCCTTATCCATCTGAGTGTGCAAATTTGACTTTGAGCTATTGGGATCTTTAAAGAACAGGTAAGGCTAGCCTGGAAAACATATGAAAGGTTACCAAGAGCTCCACTGCTGGGTGCAACTGTAATCCTTTATATTAATCAAAATAAAAACAAAATACATATATATTTTAACCCTGATCATAATAAAAATGGAAAGTTCTTGTCTTAGGACTTAAGTTTGTATTTTTCTTTCTATATTTTAAAAATAAACATGTAATACATGACACAGAATTTCCAGAGCGCTATAGGTTAGCTAAAGAGACATCAAAGTAGAAGCTTTTTGCATCGAGGCTAGTTTTGTGTAACTAAAAACTCTAATGAAGCCATCCTATAAGGGAGGAAATATTTCTCTCACTCCTTCATATATATGAGAATAAATACCAGGTTGAGTTATCGTGGTAAGTGAACAACAGAGTTTTAATAATAGGAGATAAAAAGGTGGAAGAAAACTTGTGAAAAGTGCCCTAGAGCTCCATCTATTAGTTTAAAATGTGAATATAAAAGGTAATATTTAATATCAACCTGAACAAAAAGAAGGAAACAATTTATTTATTTTTGTTTTTCTTTTTTTGTCATGGCCATAGTAAAGAAAGAAAGAAATACATACAAGACCACTTTAATAACATCAATAGGTTACTAATTAACATTTTCAGAAATTATCAACACAGAAGAATAATAGAGATAGTATTTACTATTTGGAGGTTTGATGGTTTTTAAATAAATCTCTGTCATCTTTCTTGTAATCGTAATACTTACTTAGCATAGTGTTGTGTGCCCAACATGGAAAATACAAAAGCAATACACCAAACAGCGCAGTTACACAAATATCTAAGATTCTCTAAAGTTCTTGGCATGTGTACATGCATGATACAGAACATAATTACTCACTCTTTCACATAATGCCACTTTTGCATTTTAGATTTAACTGTGCTTTAATAAATTGAACTTGTCATTTTACCTTTTTTTGGCATGCACAAAATACCTGGTGAGCTTTATGAGCTGGCAGAGTGTCAAGGCTTTCTAAGTCCTCGGGGTGTGACTTTGACAACAACGGGCTCTGTCAAATAATGGAATTCACTGTCAGGAATTGGGCAGCTCACAAAAGAATAACATTGCCAGTATTATCATTCCAATGCTGTATTTGATCATTTGCTATTTAGTGAATTTTTGCAATTCAAAAAATGAAAATATCTGCAGAAATGATTGCATGTGTCTTGTATTATTAATGTTTGAAGCCATCTGCATTTAAAATTCAAGTTTTTTTTTTTTATCTGAAAACTACTTCTATCTTTTGGCTGGTGTTAGCAGTATCTTTCCTTAAGGTGTCTGGGTAATAATAGCAGAAAAAGAGTCATTCCAGGTGCAGATAAAATACTTTCAATAGCTAACACTTTTTATGAAAGAATGTATCAGCCGCACTCCACTCTTAGCTCCTCTTACTGTATTTATAAGTTATTAGCAGAGTGACTGCATACAATGTCTCCACATGGGAGCCAACCTTCTTTAATGTGGTTCTAAAGGCATAGTAATTTTTGCCTTAATGCATTCTCTGCATTAGGTTAAAAAACCTTCTGTGCACAGTATCACATTGACACCCCCCCCTCCAATACTTACTTGAGCCCTATTTTGATCCAGGGCTGTACCCGAGAGTAGCACCTCCCTCCACTCTCTCCCTCCTCACAGGACATGGAGGCAGCAGTGGGAGCCATTGGCTCCTACTGCTGTCAATCAAATCCTGCGATAAGGGAATGGGAGGCAGGGTCATGCCTTGCTGGCAGTGTCTATAGATGCAGGCAGCACAGCTGGGGATTGAGCCCCCGCTAGTGCCCCCAAAGGAAGCAGCTTCTAATGGGGGCACTCGCTAAAGAGGTGAAACCAGGAGTTCCGGTAGAGGACCCCAGAAGAGGAGGATCAGGGCTGGTCTGGGAAAAAAACATTGCAACCCGAGCAAGTAAGTATAACATGTTTATTATTTATAAAAATAACTTTAGCCACTTGCCTACAGGGCACTTATACCCCCTTCCTGCCCAGGCCAATTTTCAGCTTTCAGCGCTGTCGCAATTTGAATGAAAATTGCGTGGTCATGCAACACTGTACCCATATGAAATTATTATAATTTTTTTGAGACAGATAGAGCTTTCTTTTGGTGGTATTTAATCACCTCTGGGTTTTTTATGTTTTTCTAAACAAACCAAAAGCTACTGAAAATTTAGGAAAAAAAACGTTTTTTCTTAGTTTTTGTTATAACATTTTGTAAATAAGTGATTTTTCTCCTTCACTTATGGGTGCTAATGAGGCTGCAGTGATGGGCACTGATAGGCTGCACTGATGGGCACTGATAGGTAGCACTGATGGGCACTGATGAGGAGGCACTGGTAGGTGGCACTGATAGGCATTGACAGGCATCACTGATGGGCACTGAAAGGCAGCACTCATATATGGCACTGATAGGCGGCACTGACTGGCACTTATAGGCGGCACTGACTAGCATTGTTAGGTGTTACTGACTGGCACTGTTTGGCAGCACTGATAGGCAGCACTGACAGGCACTGATGCGCACTGATAGGTGGGACTGACTGGCACTTATAGGCGGCACTGACTGGCATTGATAGGTGGCACTGATTGGCAGCACTGATAGGTGGCACTGACTGGCATTCATAGGTGGCACTGACTGTCACTGATAGGTGACACTGAAAGGCAGCTCAGATGGGCACTGATATGTGGCATTGATATGCACTTGTAGGAACTGATATGTGGCATTGATGTGGCACTGATGGGCACTGGCAGATGGCACTGATGAGCACTGACAGCTGGCACTGATGGGCACTGGCAGGTGGCACTGCTGGGGCTACACTGATCATCAGGGCACACTGGTCATCAGTGCCCTGA